AAAGTGGAGGCATATGCTTCAAGGCAACTGAAGAACCATGACAGAAATTATCCTACTCATGACTTGGAGTTAGCAGCAGTTGTGTTTGCCTTGAAGATATAGAGACATTACCTTTATGGTACTCGGTTTAGCGTCTTCAGTGATCACAAGAGTCTGAAGTACTTGTTTGATCAGAAGGAGCTGAACATGAGGCAGAGGCGGTGGATGGAGTTTCTGAAGGATTATGATTTCCAGTTGATGTATCTTCCTGGTAAGGCCAATGTTGTGGCGGATGCGCTGAGTAGGAAATCCATCCACATGTCTAGTATGATAGTGAAAGAGTTGGAGCTAGTTGAGGAGTCCAGAGATCTGAACCTCTATGTGGAGTTAGCTCAGGATCACATTAGTTGTGGGATGATTACCATAACTAGTGAGTTCTTGAGGCAGGTTGGATAGAAGCAGTTACAAGATGTTGAGTTAGTGAAACTTTTTGGGTTGCTGGGTACCGAGAAGGCTGTTGGTTTTGAGCTGGGCAGAGATGGAACCTTGAGGTACAAGGGAGGGATTTGCCTACCTCATGATGCTGAGCTGAAGAAAGCTATGTTGGAAGATTTGCTGAGGGCTTATGTGTTAGACCACTTGGGAAGCTGGGAGGAGGTCCTACCGCTGGTGAAGTTTACTTACAATAATAGCTTTCATGCTAGTATTGGGATGGCGCCGTTTGAAGCCTTGTATGGCAGGAGATGTAGGACTCCTCTATGCTGGTATCAAGATGGTGAGTCAGTGGTTGTGGGACCGGAGCTGATCCTACAGACTACTGAGAAGGTGAATATGATTCAGGAGGGGATAAAGATTTCTCAGAGTAGGCAGATATCATATGTTGATAAAAGGCATAAGCCTTTGGAGTTTGCTGAAGGGAGCATGTGTTTCTGAAGGTGACCCCGACCTCTAGTGTGGGTAGAGCACTGAAGGCAAGGAAGTTGACACCTAGGTTTGTTGGTCCCTATCAGATCATACAGCGTGTGGGTCTGGTTGCTTATCGGTTGGCCTTGCCACTGTCTCTTTCAAACCTACACGATGAATCTCATGTATCCCAGCTAAGGAAGTATGTTCATGACCCTAGTCATGTGGTGGAGCTGGATGGTGTACGGGTGAAGGAGAATCTGACATTTGAGAAGTTGACAGTAGCTGTGGTTGATCATAAGCTGAAGGAGTTGAGGGGCAAGTCCATTGCTCTGGTGAAGGTGTTGTGGGATGCAGCTACTGGTGTGGCTACTTGGGAGGTTGAGCAACAGTACAGGGGGCGGTATCCGTTTCTATTCCCAAGTAAGCCTATTTTCGGGGACGAAAATTCTTATTTGTTGGGGGGTATTGTGACGTAGAAAGCTGGTGTTTTAATAGCCCAGAACTGGCCGTTCCAAGCTATTAAAATGACCAGTAAATCGTAGCTGAGAACGGGCCGTTCTAGAGGGAGAATGGGCCGTTCTGCAACCAGAACAGGCCGTTCCGGAGGGAGAACGGGCCGTTCTGGAGGGGAGTATGGGCCGTTCTGAATGGAGAATGGGCCGTTCTAGATGAGTTCCAGAACGAGCCGTTTTGATTTCAGAACGGGCCGTTCTGCATGTAATTTTTGTACGTGTTGAGGGGGTGCAGAACGGGCCGTTCCGGATTCGGTACAGGCCGTTCTGGCCACTCCGGAATGTCTATAAATAAGGGCTGTGGGCAGTTGAGAGGAGGAGGTTTTAGAGAGAAATTCTAGAGAGAAGGGCTCTGGACTAGAAAGCTTACTTTTGAAGGATTGAAGTTCCGGGTTGAGCTTCGGAAAGGGAATTTCGCTTCTTGGCTATTCTGAGCCAATCTTCAGGTAAGGGAAGCTAGGTCTTTAGCTGTTTGGATTGAAAATGAGTTACTAACTCATGGTGTGGCTGATTTTATGTTGATTGATGGACTGTTGTGGTAAAAAAATTCATTTTGGGGTTTCTGGGGTTTGATGAAAATCTTGGGGTTTTTCTTGATTGTGGTTGCATGTGGGAAACGCTGGGATTTCTGGGTCGTTTGATGAAAATGTGATGTTTGGGCCGATTGCATGCATTTGGAAAGATGAGTTAGTGCAGGTTTTGAAGAAAATTTTGAAGTTTGAGGGTTGTTGCTAGGTATCACGCTGGGCGCAGTTCTTCGCACCGGGCATGTGACCATTAGAAAGCCCCCCGGTTGTAGTGGTGTATGCTCCGGGCGAGCTTGAGGGTGTGAGCCTCTAGGTGCCCCCCGCCGGGCATGGTTGGACCGCGCTGGGCGCGATATCAGTAAGTGACATTGCTTGGGGATTTCTGGTGTGGCGCCGGGCGTGACCTTGTCTCGCCGGGCGTGGAGACTCCTTGGGAGTCTCTATTAGAGGCGGTGCCGGGCGCAATAGATATTGCGCCGGGCGTGAGACTGTGGAGAAGTCTCTGCTTACCTGCGCCGAGCGCTGGTTCGTACGCCAGGCGTGAGATACCTTCTGAGGTCTCTGCCTCCTAGTACGTCGGGTGCAATGGGAATTGCGCTGGGCGTGCTTAGCCCTGATGCTCTCTGGTTGTGCTACGTCGGGCGCGACCATATTTGATATTAAGATGATATGTGTAGAAATTTGCTGATAGATATGTTGAGTTGAGCTGTAGATGTTAAATATTACTGTGCTGACTAGTTGATAATGCTAGATTTTGATGTTGAGCTGTAATTGATGATTATTGTTGTGTTGTTAGCTATTAAGCTGTGTTAAATATTACTAGCTGGGATGTAAGTTGTTATTGTTGTAAGCTGTTAATGTCGTATGTTGTTATTGCTGAAATGTTGTATTGTATAATGTTGAGTTGTGCTGTTTAGCTGTGCTGGATATTGATATTGCTGTGCTGTAAGTTGTTTAGCTGAGCTGTGAGACGCTATTGCTGTGTGCTGTTATTGCCGCTATGCGGTGCTGTTATGCAGTGCTGTGCTCTGTGCTGATAGGAGCTGTTATAGGCCATAAGGCTGAGTTGTTGATCACTAAGACTAGAGGAGTTGTTTTCGAAATTTACCTCATCCCATTGTGTGGATGCAGCGGTTGTGGTGCTCTTCGAGCCCAATTTGTTGAAAACCCTCCCTGGAAAGCTGACCCTTGGAGTGGTAACTTGTTGTTCTCCTCTAAGTTCTTAGTGGTCCCGTGTGTGGGCAAGGTCGAGGCACACGTGTACAAAGCGACCACGGTATAGGGGCCAGGTCGAGCTATACCGCTTACAAGCGACCAATACTAACTTATATGCGTGACGACGCATTATGTGTTTATTGTTGTTTACCGCTGTGTACTGCTGTTTATTGCTGTTATTGCTGAATGATGTGAGGAGTGTGCTATTATATATATTAAGCTGATGTTGTTAAGCTGATTGATGTGTTGATAGCTGTAACTGTTTACTATTCATATATTTATATACGTATGTTGTTTCTTTTCACTAGCTTACCCTTTGTTGTTTCCATGTGGTTTGGACTGCGATGATCATACTATGTATGGGAGCAGGGCAGGGTTAGGTTGGTGTGCTGAGGAGAGTCTGCAGCTAGCAGATGGCGTTTGTTTTTGTTGTTGTATTTAGCTACTTAGTGTAGCATTGCTAGATGTACTCTTGTACACTCTGACTCTAGCCAGATTTGGACCTTGTATATATATATATTCTAAACACTATATGTATATACTTGTTCTTTTCTGGGTGGTGTTCTGGTGTGTTGTGCTGTCTGTAATGACCAGTCGGGTCGTTACTGTTGTTCTGGTGTGCTGTGCTGTGTGTAGTGACTAGTCAGGTCGTTACAGGAAGTGCCTTTGTGAAGATGTCTACCAATTGATCTTCTGTCTTGCAATATACTAACTCAACATTACCTTTTTTCTGAAAATCTCTAACAGACTACAGCTTAACATTGAAATATTTAGTCTTCCCATGAAAAACTGAATTTTTAGAAATTGCAATTCCTTTTTTCACAATTCTCTTAACAATTTTTTTCTTCTTGACAACTCTCAGGACCGATTTACCTGATGAAACATTGCTAGTTTTAACTAAATTCAGCAACTTATTTTTCCCGATCAACCTCCCTGGCAGAAGGCCGGGAAGAACTACTATCAATAGTCTTCTGCACACTCACCTTCTTCTTCCTTGAAATAGAACTATCATTCCTCTTGAAATGCGACCTATTCAAATCCACAATAACTAAAAACACCCTAATCGATTGCAAACCAGAATAATCACCCTCCGAAACCTTTTTACTCCTCTCCCAATAATCGAAATAATCACCTCCAGACCGAAGAGAGTATAATTTTCAATGTAGAAGAAACTGTTAGGGCTTCATCTCATCTCATGACCCATCCACTCTTTTGTTTTCTTTGAGCGGCTTCTAGTCTAATCATTATTGATGTATTCTGTTTTGTCTTTTACATCTCTTAATTTCCAGAATAATCACTCTCCAATGTTTTTTTTTTAAACAAGTATTTTATATATAGACTCCCAAACTATAATTTAGGTGAAGACAAAGTTACTTTATTCGCGGCAGACCAAACATGATTTTCAAGTCATATCTAAAATATGTTATTTAAGTTAAAATAACTTTTAAATCAACTTTTCACTTGTAAGTTAAAACAACTTTCAAATCAAATTTTCTAAAAAGAACTTCAGGTATGGACTTAAAAATTTAATCAAATAATTCAAATCAGATGTTTTGACAAGAATATCCAAATACATAGTAATTTTTTATTAGAGGGGTGAACGGAGTTTTGATTTTGTAAAGAACGTAGAATTTTAAGTTTATATTCAAAATTTATTATTTCCTTTTATTAAAAAAAATCTTAAGAATCGAACTCAATACAAAGAAATCTACGATAAATCACTCACATACTCGCCAATGAGTTACCCTCGTGGTATTAAGATATTTTATATTTTATATGTGCAATTGGTAAAGATCTTGAACTTAATATTAAATTTTTAACGCATATAATTAAATTTTGGAGAGGGGTAGCTGGACTCGATTAAGCTTGCTTTTTGCGAAGCATTTTATGTATATTGTCAAGGAAAGCATGCATACAAGATAAAAAATATCGATACAAATATTGCAAATCCACAAATTGTGAAAACACCAATCATCTTGTTTTTCCATAAATATGATGATTTGTTGAATAAGTCCAAAATGATAGCTATTATATATGCCACCAAAACCACTAAGCCTGTAAGGAGCTTTCTCCCTTGGAAGACCTAATGCATTTTAAAATATATTGATAACCAATACGTGGCTCATTTTTGTTGCAACTTACAGCACTCCAATAAATCCTCTGTCAACATTTTCGCTAGGTTGTCCATTGTCATGCTGAATTCATGGTCCATCTACAATATAGAACAATCATATATGAAGGCCGTCATCTACTAGTACAACCATGTATATGAATATATTGATTGTTTAATGTTCCATGTGATAAGCATGAAAGTGTGAGAAAGATTCTAACTAGCTAAGTGTGAAAAAGAACTGACTAGCTCATTATATTATCATTGAGTAAAGAATAAACTCATTATATTATTCTTAGAAATAAAATAATTAATTACCTAATTGCTCTTTTGATTTATCTAAACAAAATCTTGTGTAGAATTTGATCCATTTATTTATTTATTTGTGTTAACTATGTCCTTCTATTTTCAAAGTTCAGCAAATTTAATCCTCCATCGATTTTTAATGACCTGCAAATTATTTTTTATTTAAATATTTAGGGGTTATATTTAAATTATGAATGAAATGATTTTAAAAGTTTAGAAATGAGAAATTAAATAGAAATTTGATAAAAAAAAATTTAATATTATTTGAATTTAATTTTAATTTTAAGGATGGAAATTTTTGAGATTTTTTTATTGGCGAGTTTTGAAAAAAAAAACAGAATTTGAGGGGTTTTATTTCAAGAAAATTGGTTATTAAACTTTAAAGTAAAATAATTTAATTAATAAAAATTAACTTAAAGAAGTAAATCACATAAAATTCAAACAAGAAAACCAAAATTTTTATTAACAAAATGATCACATGCATGTATATTAAAGATATATAAAAATGATTTTTTCTTTTTTGAGAAATCGGCTCTTTTAAAGTGAGTAATAAATTAGATGGTAAAGTAATTAATGATTAACATTCTAATACTCATGACTTATTATACTTATGTAAGTAGCATTGTTCTTGATTTTCTTATCAACAACTGATATTATTTCTTTTATGTCTAAAGTAAGTTTCTCATTTTAGAGATCTAAGTGTCCATTTTTTGATCATCAAAACGTGAGAATAATTTTTTGTTTTGGAGAAACTATCTTATTTAATTTTAAAATGTACTTTTTGACATGTATACTCGCAATGGTGTGTACCTTAGCAATGGTAGTAATGATGAGAGCAGAATTTCCAAAAGGCAAAACATTGGTACACACTACGGAGAGATCATGAGCTTCAACCTTGGCCAGTAGCTTACCAACAATGCCCTTTTGTTTCTCACACATTACTTTGATGAGTACATCTTTTCCTGAGACTCTTGCTTCCACTTTAGGACATATCTTGATAGGTTTGTCATCTAAGACGTCATAGGTACATGAAACGTAGTCATCAGCAACATTGGTTTTGTTTGTTTTGAAGCATCCTATGGTTTCTATCTTTCTCTTCTTCTCTTGCTCCAAAACTTTCACACGCTGCTGAAGATGTTTCACATACTCTATGGCGGTGCTAAGGACCGAAGCCTTGTCCATCTACACATTAAAAATATCTTAACTATTATTTTTTAAGCTAATGAATTGGTGATATAAATTTCTTAACATTATAATAAATATTATATATAATGATATATAAAAACTATATAAATACAATATAATATATATAGAGTATAAATTTATTTCATATATAATTAATAGTAGTTTTAATATTAATTTTGAATAAAATTTAATAATATATTTTATATTATCATATTCTATACTACACTTTTTCAATAATATTAAATTAGATAATCTTTTTCAATAGATCACAAACAATCATTTTAGAGATGATAGAATTATTATAAAAAGCAACAAAAAAAAAGTTTAAATATTTAACATAATTATTTAAAACTTGAACTCAAAACTACCTATAAATTTATAATAATCTCAAACAAGTTGATGAAGATACACAATAATATAAAATATAATTCAAGATATTCTTGATATTATAATAAGTAAAGAAAAAAAAAAAGTTATATGAACCGACCTTTTTCAAGCCCGGAATAAGGGCTGAAAGAGCTATGAACATTTTGGTGATATTCTCTCTCCTTTTTCTTTCAGCCATTATGTGCTCATGTGTCTGGGAGCAGGATCTACCCTTCTTGGGTTTTATATTCTGTGGCTTTTCTTGGGAATGTTCACCATGAAAATATTGGCATGTTTTCTTGGGAACATTTGGCACTAAAGTGGAATCCTCAAAAGACAGGTTGCAAGGCATTGGTTTCTGTGGAGAAGAAGCATGTGGTTTGAGACTTGTGACATGATCAAAGCCAGTGTTCCCTTCCAAAGATGAAGAATTTCCCATGTTGGTGCTTACATGGGTGGTGCTTTCTGTAGTGAGATTTGAATAAGAGTGAATATTTTTCCATGAGATTTCTGAACCCTGCACTGAATTCTCTTTCTCTAACTCTTCTTCAAGAGAGTTCATGTTATATTCACTTGAAAAAAGGTTGTCATCCATTTCCTGCAAACACAAATTAATTAAAAGGAGAATCATTTTCAGTATTAAGTTATGTATACATGATATGTTATATTATTATCATATAAGGTATCATATATATTACAAAACTATATGCTATGATTGATTGAAATCTCTTCATTACCAAAAAAGAAAGGCACTTTAGCCATGACTCGTCCATTGTCGTCTGAATTTGGAAATACTTGTTCTAGGTATTGTTTATATATATTAGCTTCAGCCACTGAAGACAATGGCAACAAATTCAACGATGTGGGACTACCTTCCGATGCCTTTTATAATAATTGTGTGTGTGATTACTTTTGTTTGTTCCCACCAAAGCAGTACATTTAGAGAAAGTAGAATATTATTTTTCAATGAGAAATTATGTGGCAGAAGCTAAGGACGCGTCCCTCACACTTTTCGGTAACAAGTGGCTTCAACCTTGCAGCCATGAACTTGTACTGAAATTTGATATATAGGTCATTTTGGATCATATGGAGTGTGAGATTAATCTTAATCAAGATGATAATAATAAGATTAAAGGACAGAAAAAAGGTTTTGTTGATAAGAAAGGTTAGATATAATATTAATTTTCTCCAAAGATTTTAGTGTAGCTATACTTTGAATTTGAGATTCAAAATTAAGGGGAAACAGAATCGAGTTGTTGGGATCACATGACTAGGAAAGATCAAATTAAAAATATAAGATTAATAAATTCAATCTTACTAGTTGATTTTGTAGAAATCGAGTAATTTTAGATTTCACATTTGTAAAACTTTTTTATTTTTAGTAGTTAGTGTTTTTTATTTGATTTAAATATATTTTTATTCTCTTAAACTTAAAGGAAATCTATTTTTAATTCTTCAAATTTAAATTTATTTGTTTTTAGTTCTTGTAATTAAAAATATATATGTTTTAGTTCCTTGATATATACTACCTGCAACATCCCTAATAAGAATAGATTAGATCAATTATGAAGCATTAGTTAAATTTTAAAAGCAATATTTTGGAATACTAATCGATAGATTTTGTGCCAAATGATGAATTTTATATGGTAGATTTACTAGCAGTGTTTAGATAGATATTGAAATAGTTTTTTTTTTAATTATAAAGATTAAAAAGATTAATTAGGTTTTTTTTCAAATTATAAAGTTTAAAAAGACTAATAATCTATATTTATTTTGTTTTATATTATATGTTTTAACTCGTGTTGCTTGTTTTTTAATGAGGACATTAGTAGTGAGAGAATATGCTAAAGTTCAACTATAGGTTTTTACTTAAAGAAAGAATAAAGTTAGAAAAGAAAAAGATAAGGTTAATATAAAAAATATAAAAATAAAATAAAATAAGTGAAACCATGCTATTTTCTTGAAAGATAAACTAGAAAGAATGGCTCTAGAAAATAAGAAGACTTTTTCTACATTTGATTCTTCTAGAAGATTCCAATCCTACCCAAGTTATAGATTAAGGACTTGGATAGCTGAAGGAAGATCCTTAGGGCAGAGATCTAATGTGGAGAAGTTAAAAGAAGCCCGAAGTTGGGGTTTTGGGAGACCTTTCTTTTTCATCTTATTGATTCTAGCTTTTACAAAGATAATTGAGGTAAAGGAAGCTTGATTATTGCTTGTAGATTTTAAATTGTATTATTGTTAATTTGTTGAGAATTGATTGATTTATGTTGTTTAGGTTTGGGGCTTTTGGGTCCTACTTGTGGAGGGTCTGATTAAAATGTTCCATGGTTTCAGAAGGATATCTGATGAAGAATAACTATTTACCATTTGTGTAGTTTGTTGTGGTGTGAAAAGGAAGTGGAAGATGATGTGGAAATCCCTAAATTGTTGATTTTATGGGATTTCTCGCTTATTGAGCTTTCATTGGATGAAAGTCCAAAAGGAAAATAATGGGTTTTTGCTTTGCGATATGGTCTGGTTTAGCAAAATGAGTAAACCATTGTTCACTATGCGAAGCATTGATATCGATTTTGAAATCGTCTGTTCCGCTCAATGAAACTGATTGGCTAAACAAGTTTTAATCTTTGTGGGTTTGGTTTAAAAACTTGCTCAATGTACAAGACCTTGTAACATGCTTTTCTTTTCAAAAAATATGACTTATAATTATTTAGTAAATTAAAAAATTATAAGTATTTAAATTAAATCACCTATAATACCAAAGTGATGTGATGATAAAGAAAGAATAAGTTTATCTATTACATATATGATTATCAGTTATATCCACAAACATTCTTACCAACTACCTATAAAAGAAGGAAAGGTTTATTTTTATTCATATTTACAAACCCTCTTCATATTTCTTATGATATTTCACAATACCAAATGCTATATATTATATCTTTATATTTCTTATGATATTTCACAATACCAAATGCTATATATTATATAATGGGTTCACATGGTTTATTGGCGAAATAGTGAACATGTTGGTTACAGGATCATCAAGGATTATTGGCATGGTCGTATTTGGGAGTGCTATTACTCAAGAACCTTATTATCCATTAAAGGTGACATTGTTCTTTTACAAAGCCACTGTCCACTGCATTTTAGGGAACAACATGTAGCAATCGATGAAAGGACCAATATTGGTTGTGTCCCACAATTTAATTAATTTATAATTATATATATATATATATATATATATATATTAATCAAATAAGTAAATAAATAAATATAATCATATATATTTATATATATATATTCTTTTTTATTTATGAATTTTAATTCTGTTTCATGAACAGATTTTAATTATAGATTTATAGTAACTGAACGAGATAAAATGAGTTTTTATCATAGTTTAAATAATACAAAGATATCTCTTCTTCATCAAATATATGCTCATTTAAATCCCCTAAAACCTCCAACTACGTACAAATGAGCTAAAATTTTTACTAAGCATACAAGATCATATCAGTTAATAAATATCTTTATAATAATTAGCTAATCATAATAAATTTTAAAAGTAATATCTATTATATTAATTATAATAATAATAATAATAATAATATTTTTTTAAGTAAATGAACTTAACTCATTTCATTGATGATAAGAGGGGCAATACATGGAGAAATAAAATCAAAAGAGTGGTGACTAACATAAGATTCATACTAATTACATCAATTAGAACATTTAGGGAGAAACAGGGATGAAACAGATACAATTAGGAAAACCCCTCATACATGAGCACACAACAAACATAGGATTGGGGGCCAATCCCACTACCCAACATACATTCCCACATCCAGAGTGCCTAAAGTTCTATAAATAGGTGAAGGTTCTCACATCCTTAATTATTCAATTTGTTTTATTCGGGTAAGAAAAACAGAGGGGTATAAATAGTATAAGTTACTATAAAAAAACAAAGAAAAAAAAAAAAAAAAGAAACAGTTGGAATCATAAAAATAAAAATAAAAATACATATTATTTATTATTGAAATTACATTAAATCAAATAATAATAATTAAAATAAAATAATAAAAAAGTTTAGAAAATATTGAATTGAATTACGTTAAGTACTATTTTTTTTAAAAGAAACACCCTTATTACACTAATAAATTATTTTATAATATACTTATCTTTCAAGATAATTGTAATATCCCGATTTTCACAAATTATACGAAGGTTCAAAGCTTAATAAGGGTGATTTAATAGCCTAGAACGGGTCATTTCTAAACTGGAACGGGTCATTCTAAACTACTAAAAAGGCCTATAACCCTAGTTGGGAACGAGTCGTTCCAAACATGGCCGTTATGTTAAAACGCAACTCCAGAACGGGCCGTTCTGGTTTAAGAACGGAACGTTCTAGATGTGAATTTTACATATGACGAATGAGTCTAGAACGAGACGTTTCAGATTCAAAATAAGTCGTTTTGGCTACTTCTGACATCTATAAATAGCATACTCTAGCACTACTTATACATTCTCTGAAGACCAAGGAGAACCAAGAGAAGGAGATCAACCAAATCCCGCTCTAGCTTCATCTTCTGCTTATCCAGGTAAGGGAGAGTGAGAAACCTCTCACTCTGGCTCATAGTGCGTGTAGGAATATACGCTGGATAGCCAAACACAAACAAGATATGTATAGCATAGATAGATTAACAATAATATCACATCCCACTCATCCAAGACATAAAAATATCAATTTATCATATAACATTAAAAAAGCACATGCATGGACACAGACTACATATTATCATGCATGTGGCGCCAGTAACACATCACATGGCATATTGCCGCTAGCAATATACGAAGAGTAGTCTAGGAGTACATGTCAGGTCACGCCCTCTGTGCACTCTCACTAGAAGGACATACTACCAAGGTCTCGTCGGGATAGCTAAGCCGTGCAAGATACATCCCATGCACACAATGGGTGAGATTGAAACTTCCAAACCAAGCTATCCCCAAGGACTAATCCCCAAGCTTTTACACAAGGAGGCCTTCCCTGGCGGTGTATTCCATATCGTACCCTTAAAAACATTTATGCAAAATGATGCATGTCAATCAAGACTCTATGCATTCTCATATCACATTATCATGTCTCATTGTCACATAACATTATCACATATCCTCATATCTCATGTCTCATATTCACATTTCACATTATCTCATCATATTCACATAGTCTCCACAGAGCACTTTAATTCATATGAAAACTTATCTATTTGCGAAATTGAACACATATTCGTACATCTCATCCAACAAGGAATACAATAGAACAATTAGAAAGTAAAATAGAAAACATTCATATTTTGTCTGTTTTTCATAGGGTTCTCTCAGGAACCCACAGAGCACTCTAATTCCTACAATACACATTTAACACAATACAATTTACTCATATAATTGCCTCTTCAAACAATCTCCTCACACAATCATCAATGCATTCCCTTAGGGTTTTCTATAGGAACACCAAAGTTTGCCATTATAATCCAAACACCAACACTACTCATACATACATACTAATTACATCAATTAGAACATTTAGGGAGAAACAGGGATGAAACAGATACAATTAGGAAAACCCCTCATACATGAGCACACAACAAACATAGGATTGGGGGCCAATCCCACTACCCAACATACATTCCCACATCCAGAGCGAGGTTTCTCAGTCTCCCCTTACCTGGATAAGCAGAAGATGAAGCTATAGAGCGGAATCTGGCTAAGTCAAAGCACCCCAGACGAAGTCAAGAGCGTGCATAGCTAACCAGACGGAGATTCAAATA